TGAACATCGGTCGCCCTCGGTTGGCCTTCGGCGACCTCTGGCAGCCCTCGTTCGACACGAGTCCCACTGGACACAACCAAAAAGCTAACTGAGGGCGGAGGCCTGCGCAAGCGCAAGCATCGTCCCTACCTCTCTCCAGGCTGTGCCGGTGGGGGTCTCGTCCGTTGTCGCCGCATCCACTCACAAATACAAATATACAAATATACAAATACAACAATGTCTATGCAACAATGCTAAACGCAACAATGCTAAACGCAACAATTATAAATGAATACAACAATGTCATTAAACAGACACAACAATGCCAGACACAATAATGTCTAACGCAACAATGGCTATAAACAAATACAACAATGCCAAATATAACAATGTCTATAAACGGTTACAACAATGCCAGACGCGACAATGTCAATAAACAGACAACTAAACTGTTTATTGACATTGTTATGCTGCTCTCAAGGCAACACGTCACAATATTTTTATTGCATTACTTAACAAATTTGAACAAGTGACAGTAACAAATTATGACACTTTTAAATTAATGTTGACATTCTAATACCCCATATACCATAATATGCATAAGTTTAAACATGTTAACTTATAATAAATGAGCTGACTGATGTGAAAGAGGAAAATTATTTGTTTTAATTTTCCATAAATTATGTTGACTTATACAATTGTGTTATTTCTGATAGCCTTGAAATGGACTTAACAGTGTGGTAGTATTTAATCACAATGAAAATAAAAATTGGAAGATGCGAAATGAAGGAATGTAAATGCCTCGCTGCATAATTGGGAATAAAACTATTGTGGTAATTCAGAATTAAAGTTTCTGGTTTTCCAAAAAGGGTTCATATTTTGGATCTCTTTTAATGGCTTGTAATTTTCATATTTGCTTTCTAATAAGTTTTCATGTAAATATTTCTTTTTGTAATGTTATCTCTGGAACTTGTTAAGAGGATTGCTGTTTGTTGGTGTTCATCTTCATTGTCTTAATTTGTATGTATTATACACATATATATGTTATGCTGGCCAACTAACACATCTGTAATACATCAATGTGTAAATATGTATTCATCTGCTATTGTACATACTGCTTGTCTTAGCTTTGCTTAGTTTACCACAGAATTCTTGGGCTTAGCTTTTGTGTACACAGATAGCAGTATTGTTTTTCTCATTATGCTAAATGTAATGTGTGTGTTGTGTGTGTCTTTGTTTCAGCAAAAGTGAGATTAAAAGAGAAACCTACTGTGTCTGAAGGGAAACTTCAAGAGAGTGAACTGTATATAGTACAACAATTAGATGGAGAAATACGGGTTGCTGTGGAAACATTGCATCTAGAACGTGACAATGAAGCAAAGTATGTAAACATTGGTGCTGTTCCTTTAATTATATAAATATTACTTTAAGCAAAATTCTGTTTACTGTAATGAGCCTTAGTTAAATGGGAATTGGGGGATTTAAATGGCTGTACTACTGGATACTGACCATACTGTTACTCTGGAATTTAACACTTCAGAGGTATGGTACTGTGACACCCAGCCACCTGGGTCGTACATAAGCCATGGCTTGTGGTGGACAAGACTGGACTAAAAAAGGCAAATTACTTGTTAGTATTTATGGCTGTTTAGCCAAGAGGTTGATATGTTCTGTGTTAGTAGTGAAATCTTGTGCAATGTATAGATCTGTGGCTTTTCATTTATATAGTTTAGTGTTTGTTGAAAATGAGTGATGTCATCTTATTAGAAGTAAATGATTGTTTGTTACTCCACATGTAATAAATGACTGCAGTCATTTCTCACTTTTATCCAATCATGCTTCATAAAATAATGATTATCAAAAATTAGGTTTTCTGTTCACAATACTTCAATGTAAACAGAATATAAGTGATGCAAATTCTTGGTCACTTACAGTATAAAACTTGAGCCCTTGACTTAAACAGTGAATGCCCAAATAAAAACTGTGCCATGTAAGGCTGTGCTATACCAGGAAATTGATTTCTGGTTACTTATTGCAGAGGTCCATGTTCACTCCTGGGTTAATGTATGTAGGATTTGTCATGAAAAAATTGGCACTAAAGCAGATTTGTTTCACAGAATTTTTGATTTTCATTTCCATTCATCACTCCACATCAATGTTCGACCTGTGTCTTTCTTTACCATCATCAAGGCTAATATAGTAGGGGCATTTGAGTCTGCAGTATCAACAGACTTGTTTATAAAATGCAGTTATCTGTCGTCTTCTTTATTTAGTATTTTTAATGCCTTTGGAAATCCAAGTTTCATGTGTTACAGAAAAAGTAATAAAATGTAACACAGACATTTTTGTTCATGTGGATGGATACCTAATCATGGTTCATTTTAGTAAAACAGGTTAACTTGTTTAGGAAATGTTTTACTTTGGAACATTCTGCATAGTTTATTCTTAGTTATTAGTTCACTTTAGTTGCAAAACAATAGATGAGTATCTGGGTCTGCATACTAAGTGATGTATCTTTATTTCTTGCTTTAGGTGTCAAGCAATGGAAAGGTTGGTGCAGTTGGTTATTCAAGAAGAAGATATGGATGCTGAAGTAATTTCTCTATTGGGCTCATGTCTGTGCACTGTTTTGAAAGAGCAATTGGAAGGAAAAGTTTTTCCAGTCGAAGTTAATGATGAGTACGTTGGTTAATTAAGTGAGATTGAGGTTCTCACATTGACATGCTTGAAGGTGGTTGTCTCCAGAGATATAGCATCATGTAGTCTGATATATATTGACTGACATTTTAGAGGAGCTTACTGCCTCCATCATATGGGTGATGAATGATACTAATGATGGAGGCAGTAGTCTTCTCTAAATTGCTGGTCAGCATCTACCAGACTGTGTGGTGCAACACACCAGAAGACAGCCACTGTCTCAGATTAGATTAATTCACCCATGTAATATTTTACATCTTCAAGTCTTAAAATTGGAATATGTGCACAATCATATGTGTGCATAAATACACCACAGACTTTCAAATTTATGTGTATATGTTCACAGTGTGATTACAACAACTACCCAAATATAAGGTATCTGATTTAAAGTGGCATCCCAAAATTAGTTGCTTAAAAGTGGAAAAGTTTTATAATGTGAGGAATACAGTAATTCCAGGAAAACACTTTTGCGTGTGTGTCTTTGCATGTTTACTGATACAGTTAGAATGAAATGACCTGATAAATTCTAGCTGTATGCATCTGACATGAGTAATGTTCAGTTATGTACTGGGAACATTTTGATTGCTTATTGCATCAGTGTACCATTGCTGGCTTCACCTATGAATGTTTTAGATGTTAAGTTTTCATCAGGTTTACATCAACATTACTTGTACACACTTCTTAATATAAATATTTTGTTTGAACCAGGGCACAGCACCAGCAACACATCTCAGGACATGCACGAAGACAATATCTCACCACCCAGCTAGACACAACAATACTTTCTTGAAGATTTTAACATGTTTTCGCTATTCAGTTCTAGAGTTGTGGGTTTTAAAGAATAGACAATGGGAAAAAGTCCTGACAATCAATAATTTTAAGATTTTTTCACTTTGTTCTACTGTTTATGATTCATCTGTTTCTGTTGCTATTGCTTTTACCCTACAAAATTAATGATCATTACATTCATTATGAGGTGCAGTGACTTGTTTGTGCAAATAGAGTTGTTATTAAACTGGTGACAATTTGTTGACAATTGAAACATGTCATTCATAGGTGATACTAATAGCTAACTAGTGATACAATGGAACATTGATGGATTAGGCACTAGAAATTGTTGTGTAAGACATGACTGCACATTAAACACAAGATTATGTATTTTTAGACCCTTTTATTTTTCTACATCTTCAGGAGTGCCTTCCATTGCCTTTCTGTATACCTCCTGTGGTTACAGGTATTTCACTTCTTATCTTCCTGAATATGATTTTACCTGTAGTTTATTTCTTTTATCAATACTCATATTCATTGCCTAATGTTAGTAGTAGCTGTGAGTAATGTGTGTATTGCATTTGTAAATCTGTTTTATTAACTTACAGAACACTTGAGGACAGTATAGGTCGCCCATTGTTTGTTATGTTTCGCAATGTAGTGCAACTCCCAGAGGATGATCTACGTAGACACCCTATCTTATCTGTACTTGCAGAAATGTCAAGCCACCAACCAAGAGTAGGCTATCTGCTTCTGTATTTTCTTAAAGCTTGGTAAGTTTTAAAAACTTAAGGCATAAAATGAACACATTTTGGAGCAATATTTATATCTGCTTTTAAATGTTAGGCATGAGGAATTTCATAATATATAGTCTTCATCTGATATTTTTTAAGTTAATTAAATTAAGAAGAGTGGAACAAGTGACATGCATGAAGGAACAGATTATAAAATTTTTGAGAATGAGTAGGTTGTGAAAATGCGAATTGGATTTAAATGACTCAGGATAACCCAGTGGTAAGCTTTTGTGAAACTTTGGTTTTTATAAAAGCATAGAAGTCCTTGATTAGCTGAATGCTTGCCTAAAGAGAACATTCAGCCATGTCATTTAGTTAAACGTGGACTAGTGTACATAAAATGTGTGTCAGTATAAACTGTGATAAAACATACCGTTTGTTTTTTCCCTTCCAGTAAATTAAATGATGGAAAGTCATCAGCATACAGTGAATTCTGTCAAGTGCTAGACAAAGAACTAGAAAGCTGCTTGCTTAGTGATCTGAAGGTAAAGTAGTAGTAGTAGTAGTGGCTGTGTATTTTGTCTTGGCATTGGTTGATTGATTGAATCATTATGCTTATTTGATACTGTACTAAAGCTTGTGTTTCTTAATTGCTCAGCTGTGCCAGGAAGATGATGTGAACCTGTTTTGCTGGCTTGTACCTGAAGTATACATTCAGTTTCCATCAGTTGCAATTGGTCATGCCCAACTCCTTCACTTGGTTGTATCAACGGTGGATGCAGCCCAGTTACAGGACTTCGTATGTCACATTCTACAAGGGCGCCTTGTTATGTTCCGTTCAGACTCTTTCCGAGCGCTGCTGTCAGCCAGTTTGTCATGGGAAACATTTGAACAGTATTGCCTTTGGCAGTTAGTCACAGCCCATGGGATCCCTATAGACTACGTTTTACCTATCTTGCCAAGGTTGGAATTTTCAAGTCATGCAGAAGCCCTAACATCAATTTTGCTCATGTTGAAACAGGAAAGGTATGTTCCTATCTTAGTACTCCTTTAGTTTATGAGAACAATGAGAAATCTTTTATCAGCAGTTTCTTCTGAAATTATATTTATTATTTTGACTGGTTTCATAATACATTGAACTTCAGTATTGCTTTGCTTTACTGTGTGTTCATTTACTGCTTTATAATCCTCAGCACTGGCTGCCTTGTATCATTCTAGAATACTCTGTGTTAATTAGAAAGGGCAGTTCAGATTTTTCCTTTGTATTATTACAATGGGGTGAAACTACGTCTCTGTGGAACTACAGCTAATAATAGGCCCATTGTCCATCCCTTAGATGATGCATGAATTAATATGGAGCAGTGGTGGATTGATGGGAAAACTGAAGTACTTGGACAAAAAACCTGTCCCACTGCCACTTTTCCACCAAAAATACCACTGCACTGTCCTGGGCATAAACTTGGACCTCCATTGTGAGAAGCTGGCCATTAACTGTGCTGTGGCAGAGCCTCAAAATTTTTCATTTACTTTACATATACTTTTTTATTTTAGCTACATCAGTACTGCCTGCAGTTTTTTCTCCTGGTATCAATACGGTTTTAGAGGAACAAAGTTTATTTTATTGTTAATATACTAAGGAATTTTAAGCAAATGTTTTTAGTACATGAATTTTTATGTACTATTTACATCATATTCAGTCATTATACCCGAGATCATTCCCAGTAAGAAATGTCATACAAACATATATATTAGCCTGGTTAAACTTGTAGCAATTGTAATTTTGTGGCTGCAAATTATTATTCAGATTTCCGTTGTTCTTAGCAGTAATTTGAACTGCTTCTCAATAGATGGAACCAGTGATCATTAGTTCACTGTTAGATGCTACCAATGGCAGATTTATTTTATATTTCTTTGTCTTTATTTGCCATGGTGTTTATGTATCATGGCTGTATTTGTTGTTGATTTTTTTTGCAAAAAATTGTGATCACATGTGACACACACATTGTTTTGTGAGAGTTATGGTGGTGGAGTTGTAGGAATTTCTGTTCATGGTCCCAGAAGTGATATGTGTGTACACATGTTTGCATGTGCATGCATTTAGGTCATAATTACATAGGGTACAATGATTTATATGTAATTAAAATATGTGCATAAAATTCCCACATGTTTCTCTTTGCATGTTTCAACACAGACCTACAGCTGAGTTACTGAAACATCTACTGTCTCGTGAAGTACGACCTCCACAGGATGTGTTTGTAGTTTCTACACTTAAATATTGGTGTCAAGAACATGAAGAAAAGTTGGGAGAGTTAATGGCCAATCTGTTAAGTAGTCGGTACCCTAATACCTCCCCGAATAAACGAAAACGTGGTGGTGGGGGAGCAAACAGAGCTGGTTTGGGAGCAGGTGCTGGCCCTCCAAGTGCAGAGCAAGTGCTTGGACATCTAGACCAGTTAAGACAATGTTGTCGGCAGAACAATTTTCACCTATATAGCTTGGACTCCATGCAAAGGGCATTACAGCAGGCTCAGAGTTTGTGCACAGACATTCAGCGGAAGAAGTTTAGTGATTTGTTTGCTTTAGCTGAGGTGGATGAAGTGGAAGCTGCCACACCAAAACCTTCGGGTGGCAGTAAAGTGAGTGCAGCTGGGAGGGGAAGGAAGGGTGTTTCCAGCAATAGCAGCAGTGGTGGAACCAAAGGAGCTACTACTAGTAAAAGTAGAGCAGCCACAAAAGAAGTGTCAGATAGTTCGGAAGAAAGCAGTGAAGTAAGTAACGTTTGCAATGAATTAAGTAAACAACATACTGGGAACAGAAGCCAAATGTTCTTTGCCACGAACACCAGAATCTGCCATTGAACATGATCCTGAGCCATTTCCAATCACCTCCCATTCTCACAAGTAATGCATTTATTTTAATGTTACATAAATTAAAAAAGTGCTGAGGTGATGAAAAAAATTGTTTGATAATTGTATGTGTAAAGCCTCTGTTTTTCCTGTTACATGATGGTCTGCCATATTTGAAATCTGCAGTACTATTCCCACTGTTTCTATTAGTAAACTGCCAAGTCGTATTATATGCATATATCTGCTACAAAACTACAGTTTTGTTCCAAATATTTTTGGGGATGTACTTCTGATAAATTATGTATTATTCACAGCCAAATTTTGTGTATAGTGGTAAAATGTGGGTTGAATGTTTTGAGATATTCAAAAACCATTATAATCTACTACAACCTGTCATTATTTGTGTTCATTCTGTTGGCCAGATTTTCGTTTTCTTCCATGTAGTATTCAACGGGGAGATTTGTGAATAATGTAAGTTCTACCTGGAATTTCTCTGTTTTTTTAAGGCTTTGGTAAGTTGCCATACATTCTCTTGTTTCAGGAGGAAGAAATAGTGAAACCCAGACATTCTAAGAAGAGGAAAAAGGTAAATCCCGTTGGCTCAGACAGTGATTGACCCATCACCATTGTGAACTGTGGCAATATACTCTGGGGACACTATGGCTGTATCTTTGCCACCATTTTATACCATGAGGAAACAGTTTTTATACATTCTTCAGTGAAACACATTGTAAGAACACTGATCGAATTACTGTACATTTTGAAAACTGGATAATGGTTTTGAAAGTATGTCAAAATTAAACAAGTCACATTATTTGTTGTGAATGCAAAATAATGATGTTATCTATTATATTCTGTTACTTTAATAGGAACCTGGTTTTTGAATAATAGATTTTTCATAGATATTACATACCAGCGGTATTTTATGAGGAACTGTTTCATACACTCAAAGAATATGGATTTTGAGATAATATCAACTGGTGATGCCAGTTCTCCTTATTTTAGATCCATATTTGTGTTGATGTAAATGGCATCCCACATTGGGAATTTGAATGGATGAGAATGTTACGTGTATGCATGTTTGTAATATAATATGTTGTGTTTGTTTTGAATGATTGTACAGTATGTTACTGTTCATACAGTAAATTGCATCTCATTGGCTTCATTTACCATGAATTGTCCTTGTAAATTATTTGTTTTGTGGGAATATGAGTTTAATAGTTCACAAGGATTTCTTAATTGTGTACACATATTTCTTGTAAATAAATGCACAGAAACTTTTGTACATTTCCTAGCATAATACATGTGAATATTATGTTTTTTAAATTAAAACATTACATTACAATACTGTCTCTTGTTTGACTCAAAATGGTACCTAAAACTAACAGTTACAGTCTATGATCAATTTTAGGCAACAAAAATAGTAAAATGAAACATGCATACAAATAAATGCATCTATGATGGTTATTTGAAATAGCATATTTGTAATACCTCTCTGTTCTGTTCCTAACCCATGTATATATGTAATATGAATGTACATTTCGTAATACTGTACAGTTGTTGGTGCAGGTGGGTAAATTTTTTCTGTTATGATCATAGATTAATACCAACATAAAGATTGGTAACTCAGTGCTGTAGTTTGGCACCATAATTGGTGTATGACATCACACAACTTTTGTTCATAACATACACTTGAAAGTCACATAAAACACTGTTTTTCATTTGCTGTGATTTATTTTAAATGTGTAACAGTGAATAATACTGAAGTTTTCAGTTGTTCACACATGCACACAAGAGAAAAAAATGTCAGTAAACCAGAGAATTCCTTCAACCAGTTTACAACTGCTGAGCTTAAGACATCTCCAGATAATCTGAGGACTTTAATAAATAACTCACTAACCCAGAGGTCCCCAACCTTTTTGTGCCTACAGGCACATTTGAGAGTTTATGAGATCATGGGGAGCACCATCCAATTAACAAAGCCAAATTTTCTTTTATCTGGACAAATAAGATATGGACACCAAATAATACGCAAAACAACACCACGTTTAATGATACAAGAAACCATGCAATCAAAAATACATACTTTTATAAGTACAATTATTATTACTTAAGTGGGAAGTTAGTGTGATGTTTGGTGCTCATTTCATTGGCCAATTTTTCAAATATGGGAGTGTAGGATGATGTTGCTGCTTGCAAACAATCGTCAAGATGGGCCTCAGTAAGTCGAGATCTGCGCTTTGATTTCATAATGTTCACGGTTGAACGGCCTTCATTATTCAGTATAACCTCTTTTCGTAACAATGCGGGCACCCAAAAAAAAGCCTTGGCGGGTGCCCGCAGGCACCGCGTTGGGGACCACTGCTCTAACCACCTAAGGAAAAAACATTTGCTAAGAGAGCTTTACAACATCTGATACTAATATAGGCTATAGTTTCTGAGTGAAACCTCCAAACTTTTGTGCTTACAATCATCCATATGTCAAGCCATCACATAACATGAATCCAAGTTCGCAGCACATTTCAGTGACACATGCCAAACAACCATCACCACAGTGACTCACTGAAATGTTGTCTTGTTCATAACATCATGAGATCATTATTGGATGTCACCAACAAGTTTTTATTAAATAAGAGTACCAGAATGATATGTGATCTACTTTATTGAAATGTGTGGTTGAAAGTAGCCACACAAAATATGTCTTAACTGAGTACATTAGCCAACATTTCATAGATCACAGCATGGTTTTCTAGTCATTTCAATGTGTGAGAGGTGTATGACATGGACCAAAAAAAAGAGATTTTTAAATATTAAGTTTTATTCACATTTTTACTCCAGAATTTTTTACTAACAATCAGCAATTTTGAAACTAAATATAGGTATATATAATAAAACAACTAAGTAGTGGGAACAAATAAATTTCCTGGCCTACAAGTTTGTAACTTGCATTGGAAAGTGCACATTGAATATATTATGCATTAACCAAGTTAAGCATGCATTCTTACTAGTCACATCACTACTTGCATACATTAACACAGATATTACTCCTGACAACAGATAAATTATGTTAGCTTATTTTGCTTTTGGACACATGTTGAATAATCTGGTCATATATTCAGCAGAAAATTATTGTGATATTTTCAGATGGTAAAAATATTATCTACTGTGGAGAATTCTTTAAGAAAATTTATATACTTCCCCTTACCACCAAAGACTTAGTCTCATTACTGTCATTCACTATAGACAACACAGAGAAATTTCAAAGAAATTCAGGTACACACAATATAAACAACACAAATATGACATTCATATACTGAATGCAAATACCACTAATTAATTTAAAGAGTATACTGTACAGGAATCAAGTTATTCAGTAAACTTTCATCTACCTTAATGGTAGTAGAAACATAATATAAAAGAATTGCAGCCATAACTAGTAGAATCTGTTACCTTACTCCTATTCTCATGTAGCTGTAAGATATGTTTTATTATTATACTGGCCTGCAAGTACTTGTTGATGTCACTTTCTCCAAGTAATCTAATGTCTAATGATGCTCACATCAATGTTTGCCACAGACATTCCAGTAATTTAGTAATTACTTTTTGCTTGCTTTGTTATAACATGTGGCATCACAGGTACAGTTATTATAATGGGCAGGAAGTTACAAGGCATAAATAAAGAGGCATTACTTTTATGCTGATGTGGCAGAATCTTTACCTTCCTCTTTGTGCCCCCCCCCCCCTTGCCTGATTCCTTTACTCATCAAAATTCTTTTCTTACACTACCAGGGAACAAATTCTGATGATACCTAATACAATACCATCCATTAATCAGTAATGAAGTGAACAACGATGACCTAATCCAGTCAAAGTCAACACTGTTCTTGATTGCAGTTATGATATGCTGTTCCATTGATTTCAAGTGAGCCACCTCTGCCATCATAGCATCCAGCAGAGTTACAGAAATATCAACAGTCTCTTCTAACTTCTCAGAAGGTTACATGAGAGACTGTTCTGTATCACTGTACTCTTTGAAGTATATGAAGACATTGGTTGATAATACCATTTGAGATATTAAACATGCTTAGTATGCATCACATTCAATACCACTATTTAGCCGTCTGTCAATTAAACTGCTATTCCTCTGGTATGAATTAGAGGGGAGAATTTGAATGGCAGGTTATGTTGTTACCGACTGAGCTCTTGGCAGTGACTTCTCTATCATACTTTAATGCCACTTTCTACCGCAAGGTCGTTACTGTTGTATAAGAGAATCTCAAATCCTATGTTTTTTTGATAATTTCTATTCCACTGCGGATAGATGGCAAAGCAATATGTAAGTGACGTCATATGTCTCTAACGTTGCCAACGTAATGAGTTATAATAGTACCAACTGTTATTTCAGTAGTTTGGATGTAATGGCGGTTCGATTGTGATGTTGGTAGGACTATTGAGCTATAAGTGTTTGTGTTTCGAGATTGGTGGTGTATTTGCTGAAGTATTATTACATTTTGGCTGTTGTATTGCATTTTTAACTGGAAAATGATTAAGATTGAAGGGAACAGTCCAACCGACAGCAGGGCAAGAGACAGGTAAATGAAAATAGATTTTCTAGCTGAAGTTGTATGTGTTTGGCTGAAATGGCGTCGGCGTAATGCTTTTGCGGCGAAGTCCACTGGTTTGATATGGTAAAGCATGTAAATGTATGTGGTAGACGCGGATGGATCCGTTTAACTATGTAAATCACAATGCCTTATTTCTCCAAGAAGTGTGCATTATTATTTCATAAGGTGCTGTATTTTGGAAATTGGATTTTGCGCCTGCGCAAGTATAAATTGAACGTGGCCACAATTCTGAAGCCTTGCATTTTACGGAATATGGTTCCATGACAGAGGCAGGTTTTATGATAAGAATTTTATCGGTTTTCTGTTTTGGGCCTTTTTGTTTGTTAATCAGTACTTTATATCGAATTGATTACGACTGCTTCGTTCGAAGCAGCTTAATGTCAAGTGTGTAAATATTACAATGCCAGTATAATAATTTTTTTAAAATGTACTATGGTGTCGCCATCTTGAACTGAAATCTGGTGTTTTAACCCATTTTCTCACCTATTTACTCATTTGTATGTGCTCGAAGTTCAAAAACTCAAAAAATCCTGGGTTGTTAATTCAGTCAAAACAGTGTATGTCACAAATTAGAAAACATTTGCAGCGTTTAATAAACTAGCGTCACATATTTTCATATGATTTAAACCATCGGTGTTTAGAAACCATTACATTGTTCATATAAATTTATCTCAGTTTACTGATGATTTATTTATACGAACATTCAATATTGTATTCTAGTACTTACCACTATCATATTAGGAAATATTCATGTTGGACCTTGATTTGTATTTAATTACTCCATGGCTTTTCAGCCCTGGGGCCCTTTTTTTTTTTTGTAATGTGTTGCCACAAATAAGAAAATAAACATTATTAATGTCCGTGGTTGGTAGTTGGGGCACATATCACTATGAATAAACTATGCAACATAATGAAGAGCACCATATCAACAACTAGAATGCATCTGATGACCATGTTGATAAATTGTCATCATCTGTATCATGACATCCCATGAGTGATTAGGAAAAGTAGGTGTGGCTTGCAGGTATTAAAATGGTTGAGGTCTTCTGTTTTAGGCAGTGAAACTACCTATTTCATCCAGGTCACTGCATGGTACATCTTATTCAACATTATTACAGCACTGTTAATTGTACATTTTTCTCGTTATTGTTGGAGAAAACAACTCTATTATTAGTGGAACTTCCTGGTATTTCTGTTTTGTGATTCTGTTTCTTCTAGTTGTTTTGGGTAGGAGGATATTAAATATGTTGTGGTGAATAATTTCTAAAAATTTGCTCTAGATGTTCATTTTTTCTCCCAAGGATTTTTTTGTGCATATGATGGAATTGCGACCTTGTGAAATTTATTATACTATGATAACCACACTTCACCTATAATGTGCAACAGTCCTTTGAACCATCACTCACAGTGATAACCAATAATTAATAGTTTCACTGAATGTGCAGCATTGTACCAACACTATTGCATCAAGATTAAGTCAGATACAAAGGCAAAACTGAATTCATACTTGTGAGAGCAGCTAACTGCTTGGTCTGCTAGGCTTATGTTGTGATTGAAAGTGCTAAGCCAATGGTAGGCTGTGACTAACTAGTAACCAGGAAGCGACAGCATTCAGACAGCAGCCTGGTAGTCTGAAGTAACAAAAGCTTTCAATTTAGTAGGAAGGTACATTGATAAACTGGTGCACTAAAGGTACTGGATGCTTTATTTACTCACATTTTATGTTTGTTTATTTTCACCATAATGTATATTATTTTCACTTGTATTAACTTATTATCCCCCCCCCCCAGATTTAGGTGCTTTTGTGTTATGAGTGATCAACACAAAATTATAAAATTCTTGGCCTGTTGGGGCACATTATTTGCCATATCATTAAATAGGTTCCCTGCAAAATCTCTTTGTTAGTAACTACTCTTCCTGGTAATATGTTATAGTGTAGTCATGTACAAGACCTGCACCATACGTACAGTCTTCAATTTGAATAGTAATTTCCAATTTGTGGACTGCAGTCAGTCCGTCCACAGCTTAGTCCAACTGTTTTGATCAAGGATTGATTTTTGTTCAGTCTAATCAGGATGTTTGCTGTTCATTGTAGTGTTAACTACAAGTTTTTTTATTCAGTTTTCTGCATTTCATTCTAGTAATTTCCATATTGAATTTACATTTGAAATACTACATGCTTTTAATAACTGGTTGAACAGTGTTACCTAACACATATTATTACAGAAATGTATGCATTCAATACAAAACACATCAACAGGTCATGGGTTGAGAACCCCTGATATAGCTAATAATAGCACTATGTCTGTACCACATATATTTATTATTGATACATGATAGCTATTTATCATAAACAGGGCCTCTGAAATACAACTTTAATCTGCTTATCATTATCAGCCCCAGGTCTCACAGTACACATATAAACAACATCCCTGTTGAAAGTGGATACACATGTTTTTGGAACCCTATCATAGCAGTGAAGTTACAAATAAACTCAGGTTGTGAAAGATTATAGAACGTGTTGAAAGTTCTGTACATTTTCTGAGGGTTTTGTTATAGACATATATTTCCACCTGCATTTTATTCGTTGTGTGTAGATAAGGTTTGAAGCTCAGGTTTTGTTGGGCAAATGTTGAACATTTAAATATTTATTTATTGTACGTGTTGTACATATGTGTTATTTGCTCATTTTATTACAGGTCACCCTTGAACCCCAGTGATGATAGAAATGATGAAGATTCCAACTTGAGTGGTGGTGGTAAAGACCGTAGTCGTGAGAGAGAACGCGATCGTTCCCGAAGAGGTGATAGGCCAAGCCGTTTTGGACCGAGAAATTCAAGTAATTCCCGAGAACGGGATCGGGATAGGGATCGTGATCGTGGTGGCAAGAAAAGTGCGGCAGAGAGGCGCATCTTTGTTTCAAATATTGCTTATGAATACCGGTGGCAAGAGTTAAAAGATCTCTTCAGGACTGAAGGTTTTTTTGTTTTCTTTGTTTAGTCTTATATAACATTATTTACAGTTCTTTGATTGTAAGACATTACAGGTTGAATATACGATTTTGAAATATGACTGTGTTTTGTTGAAGAAGTTGTCAAAGTATGAGAGTATCAACTCAAAAAAGCTAATCAGTTGCATAGTAGCAATATATAGCAATTTCTTTCTGTCATCAGTTGGCGAAGTTGCCTACGTGGAACTGTTTCATGATGAAAATGATAAGCCCAGAGGATGTGGGATCGTAGAATTTGAATCGGCAGATTCAGTCAAGAAAGCAGTGGAAAAAATGCATCGATATGACCTCAAAGGGAGGAAGCTTGTTGTAAAGGAAGTAAGTAGAAGTGAGAAAAAATGGTATATTAAGGCTTTATATTGCAATTTTGAGTAATAACTTGGGCATGATATTTTGTGATGGAGGAGTTATCTGGTACTTCAAAAGCATTTACCAAGAAAGGTGTACTTCCTGTTAAAACATATCCATTTCTTACTTTACTGTTTGTGTATATTTGTATATGTGTATGTTGTGTAGTTGCTGTAATCTGAATTTAAAAATTCAGTTAGTAATATATTAATTCATACAAGTATAAATGTATTTTTCTTTCCTTTTTAGGATTTTGATGTAGAGCGTGACAGATATGGCCGGCCACAAAAGGGTGGCGGAGGAGGAGGAGGAGGTGGTGGTGTTGGAAGCAGCAGTGGGGTTGGTGGTGGAGGCGGTGGTGGAAATGTAGGCAGAATCAGAGATGAACCCAGGGGCAAATGGGACCCTGTCCCATCACTTGCTCCATCATTAAGTGCTGCTGTTGGTGGTACTGGGCAAAACAAGTGGGGAAACACGTATGGTCTCAGTCCACAGTTCCTTGAATCTTTGTGGATAAATGGTCCTCTTGTGACAAGAGTATTTGTTGCCAATGTAAGTTGTATGATGTATTGTATTACTTTTCTTTGTTTCTTAACGTTATTTGGTACTTGTGGGTTATCGGGACACATTGCTTTAAAAATAGGTTAGGTTAAAGTGTGTGGATAAATGACATATACAGTAGGGCACCGCTTATACGGCGGGTTAGGGACCAGACCCCCGCCGTAAAGCGGA